AGTGTCAGGGATATAGCTCAGTGGCACAGGGCCTGCCTGTCAAGTGTGAGGTCCTGAGTTTGATTCCTGATACAAAAAAATACATGGACAAAAACTGAAAACTTTCACTATAAAACTAATAAAAAGGCAAAAATATCCACTACCACCACTGCTATTCAATTCTAGAAACATTAGTCAGAGTGGTTAGACAAAAGAAAAAAATAAAAGGAAAAATGATAGAAAAAGAAGTGGTTAAATTGTCATTATTTGCAGGTGACATGATATTCTACACAGAAAAACCCAAAAACTCCATCAAAAGACGTCTAGATTTAATAACCAGGTTCAGTAGTAGAACTGGACACAAAGTCAGCACTCAAAAATAAAAAGCATTCCTGTACACAAATAACAAACTCACTGAGAGGGAAATTAGGGAAATCACATATTTCACAATAGAATCCAAGAAATGAAATACCTGGGAAAAAATCTAATGGAGGTAGAACATCTCTACATTGAAAACTACAGTTCTATGAAAAAGGAGATTGAAAGCATACCAAAAAATGGAAAGATGTCCCTTGCTTTTGGGTAGGAAAAACCAATAAAGTGAAAATGGCCATAATTGTAATACTGCTATATAAATTCAATGCAATTCTGATCAAAATTCCATAGCGTATCTCACAGAATTAGAGAAAGCAATCCTAAAATTCATATGGAACAAGAAGAGATCCAGCATAGTAAAAGCAATTTTGGGCAACAAAATCAAGGAAGGAGGCATCACAATTCCTAACTTGAAATTATACTACAAAGCTACTGTGATAAAAAAAAAAATCACAGTACTGGCAAAAAAAGGAAATTAAATAAATAAAATAAAATAACAGACCTTAGGATCAATGGCATAGATTAGAAGATGCAGAATTCACTCCAAACATACTTAGCCACCTTATCTTTGACAAAGGAGCCAACTACCTTTACTGGAAGAATTATATTATCCTTAATAAATGCTGCCTAGAAAACTGATTTCCACGTGCCAAACATTAAAATTAGGCCCATATTTTTCACCATGCATTATACTAAAGCCAAAATGGATAAAAGATCTGAATATTTAAGCAGAAACCCTAAATCTGAGAATAGGTAAAATTCTTTCAGACACTAGTACAGGAAAAGACTTTATGAACAAAGTTCCAATCCTACAGAAAATATACAAAGAATCAATAACTGGAATGCCATCACATTAAAAGGTCTTGCACAGAAAAAAAAACTACTAACAGAGGAAAGAGACAACCCACAGTGTGGGGAAAATTTTTTTCCAGCTGTTCCTCAGGCAAAGTACTGGTATCTGGGGTATATAAAAGCCAAAAACATCAGACTCCCCACCAAAAAAATATTTAAAGACCCAATCCAAAATTTGGCATCTGAAATGAATAGATACTTCTCAGATGAAGAATTATAAGTGGCAAATAAATATATGAAAAATTTTCAATATCCTGGTCATTTGAGAAATACAATTTAAAACAATCCTTAGATTCCAACTCACTGCCAAAGGAATGGCTAATACCAAGAATTCAACCAATAACAACTCCTGGCAGGGCTGTGGTGAAAAAAGAACTGTTGGTGGGGTTATAGATTGGTGCAGCCATTGGGAAAATCAGTGTGGAGAGCCTCGAAATCTAAAACTAGAGGTTCCATTTGACCCAGTTATCTCCATTCTTGGTATCATCCTGAAAGAATTAAAAGCAGCATACACAGTGATATATGCAGACTCATGTTTATAGTGACAGATGATAATAGCAAAGTCTTGGAAACAGCCCAAATGCCCATTAGCTGATGAATTTGTAAAGAAAATGTAGGGATTATTTAAACAATGTAGTACTATTCAGCCATAAAGAAGGACAAGCTTGAGACATTTCTAGGTAAATGGGTGTGCTTTGAGACCATAGTATTAAGTAAAATACACTGGACACATTGTTTCTCTGGTGTAAGAAACCAAAAGTGTAAATATGGATCAATATGTTTAATGAGTATTTGGAAATGAGAAGAAAATGTTCAAATCAAAAGAAGAAGGGACAAGAGACGGGAAAAGTAGAGATCAAAAACAAAAAGAGTGCAAGGAATTAAAGGAAGGGGAGGGGAGGGAAAAAGAAGCAGCCAGATATATCATGTACAGGTACAAATTCCCTATAATGAATGTTATCACTAGGTATATCTAAAGTTTACCAATAAAATAAGAAACAAAAACAAAAAGAAAGACTGAAACAAAGAAATCGAAAAAGCCTAACTAAGCTTTGACCATATGTGCTTCAGTGGAGGGAAGATGGTCTCCCCAAAAATGGCACTGGAACAGCTCGATAGCCATAGGCAAAGAATAGTCTCACATTAACCTCATACATTTTTTAAAACATAAAAAAGATTATAGATTTAAAAGTAAAGCATAAAACTGTACAACTTCAAGTCCCATATTGAACTCAACTTGGAAGAGGTGAGTCCAGTCTTAAAGGAACCAGTTGAGTAAACTGTTTATTGGTGCTCAGAGCATTCAAAATACAGGTGATAGTTTGAGAGAACATTTTGAGAAATGAGGCACTCTCACAGGTTATGTAATAATTAAAGATCCCCAAATACAGTGCTCCCGGGGTTTTGGTTTTATGATTTGCGCTTATGTTGAATTGGATGCAACACTATGCGCTTGACCACACCAAGTTAATGAGTGTGTAGTGACCAAAGAGACCTATTTCTAGAGAGAATTTTGTAAAACCTGGTGCTCATCTAACAGTGAAGCAAATTTTTGTCTCTATTAAAGATTCAGAAGGGTATAATTTGAGAGACTACTTTGAAAAGTATGAGAAGATTGAAACCATAGAAGTTATGGAAGACAGGGAGAGTGGGAAAAAGAGAGGATTTGCTCCTGTCACTTTTGAGAATCATGATACAGTTGATAAAATTGTTGTTCAAAAATACCACACTATTAATGAGCATAACTTTGAAGTGAAAAGGCATCTTGCTAAACGAGAGATGCGGTCTGCAGATCACAAAGAGGTCATGAAGGAAGATCTAGCAACTCCATGGGTTGTCGAGAAAACTTTGGAGGTGGTAGAGGAAATTTTGGCTGTGGTTGAAACTCCAGTGGAAGACAAGGCTACAGTAATGGCAGCAGAGGTAGTTATAGAGGTCATGGTGGATATAATGGATTTGGAGATGATGGTGGAAGCTATGGTGGTGGGCCTGGCTACAGTAGTAGAGGAGGGCATGGTGGTGGTAGACCTGGATATGAAAAGTAAGATAGTGGGTATGGTGATGGTGGTAGAGGATACGACGGTTACAGTGAAGGTGGTAACTATAGTGGTGACAGGAACTATAATGATTTTGGAAATTACAGTGGACCCCAGCAGTCAAATTACAGACCCATTAAGGGGAGCAGTTTTGGTGGCAGAAGCTCTGGCAGTCCCAATGGAAGTGGTGATGGATCTTGTGGTGTAACTCGAAGGTATGATAGCAGAACATTTTAAAGAAACAACAGAAAAAGGCTTTAGTTCTTAGCAGGAAAGAGAGTGAGAAGTTATCAGCAAAGCTTCAGGTTACTTTGAGACATTTGCATTAGACAAACTGTAAAATTCTACCACAGAAGGAACAATGATGCGTAATCAGAAAAGTTACTGCAGCTTAAACAAGAAACTCTTCTGGTTCAGGACTATCATGGTCACATTTTGCAAAAAGTGCAGCTGTTAATTAATGTAATATAGTGTCAATTAAATGTACATTCCTGAGGTCTTTTACCTGTTGTAGCTTACTCTTTTTATTTCTTTTCATTACATCAGGTATATGTCCCTGTAAATTGTGGTAAATTTTTTACTTTAAAAAAAAAACTGTAAGCCAGGCGTGGTGGCACATGCCTATAATCCTAGCAACTCAAGAGGCTGAGGCAGGAGGATTAAGTTTGAGACCAGCCTGGGCTACAAAATGAGCTCAAGGCCGGCCTGAATTGCATAGGGAAACCCTGTCTCAAAAAGACAAAAAAATCCCAGGTCTTTCCAGAAGCCTGGCAAACACACACACACACACACACACACACACACACACACACACACAAACTATACAACTTTTACCAAATACACACACAGAGACATCCATACACTCGCACACACAATAGATAAATCATTAAGCATTATCAGACTTGATAACAAAAGAAAAATCTTTTTTAAAAATCAGACAAGCTGGGCATAATGGCACACATCTGTAATCACAACCCTCGGAAGATCGCTGTGAGTTTGAGGGCAGCCTATACTACATAGCGAGATCCTGTCCCATAAAAGAAGAAGAAGAAAAATAATGAGAAGGAAAAGGAGATGTGGAAAGAGAAAGTGAAGGAGAGGAAGAAAGAGAAGGAGAAGAAACAGCAAGCTATGCATCAGGACTATACAGGAGTAGCATACTTAGGAGAAAGAATACTTATGTATCTTGACTGTCCTGATTGTTATCAAATATGATCATGTGATACATTTGCAGACAGGTACACAAATACATACACGCTAGCAAATGAACTCATACAAAATCAAGGTAATGTAAATAAACTTGGATTGTATCAATGTTAATCTCCAATTACTTATTACATGAATATGTTCTGTTTATACTTATGCAACATATAACCTTTAACAAAAGCATCATGGACCTCCCCATATCTCACTTTTTCAACTTCCTGTGAATTTATGCTTCAAAAAATTTTTTGATTGTGTATTTTTGAGACAGGGTCTTTCTATGTAGCTTCAGGGTAAATTTGAAAACACTAGACAGCCTAAACTGACCTTGAACTCACATCAATCTTCTTCCTCAGTCTCTTGAGTGCATGCGCCACTACACCCACAACAAATTAAGAATTTAATAAATAAATGAAAGTTTACATTTATTTTAACATTTACTTTGTTTGTTTTGATACAGAAATTGAACTGAGGACCTTTTACTTGCCAGGCAAGCCCTGCGCTGCTGAGCTACATCCCCAGCCCAACATTTACATTTTTTAAATAGATGCCTACCCGCCGATTTGTGAACACAGAATAACATTCTTTAACTAGAACTGCTTTGATCATGTCTGGTTCTGTGATGGCCAGCACAGGCTGTGGACCATCATACAACCTGTATTGAGAAAACAGAGATAATTAAATGTAACAAACAAGATTCTACATTTGAAACTTTGCCAGGAATCTAGATCTTTGACCCTGGCATTTTATAATCTACACCGTTAACAGTCAAATGCATAGCAACATCAGCTGTAATTCAAGTTGGGGATTCTGAGCATAGAAGGCACTAGAACTTTCACAAAATGTAAGGTTATGTTGTCCAAGCAAGGAAGAAACAAAAGATGAAATACCATTTCAAAGAGATCATAATTAGAAATAAAACTGGAATTGTTCTCCCTACATCTAGGTGATGTGAGCATGAGTATTGCTTATACCATCCTCTGAAATGCTTTGTATGTTTAAAATATTTCAATATCGGTGCTGGGATGCAGCTCAGTGGTGGTCTGCTTTCCTACTATATATAAAACTGTTAGTATAACCCCCAATGCCACAAAAATTAAAATTTAAAATGAAATAAAATATTTCCATATCAAAAAATATATTGCATTGATGACAAAGTCAAATTATCAAGTGCTCAAGAGTATTTAATGTTGTAAGGGGAAATTGGGATCAGAACAATGGAGACCAAGTACTCTGTCCTTGCCATTGGATTGTGTTGTATTTGTGGCACATGTCAAGTTTGTAGACTTCTGGGGCCAGCAATGTGGTTCCTAAGGACTCAGGAAATTAAGAGGTAGGAAAGGCAAAGCTTTCTCCCACCTGCTTGTGGCACAAAGCCCATGATTACATCCCTCCCACCGGTCTCCAAGCCTTCAGCAGCTGTGAAAGGGAACAGCTGTTCCAGGTGGCTCAGAGAGCCTTATGAAACCACCATGAATGTAGTCCACAGGAAAACAGTAGTTTTAAACACGTGCTACATTACTTTGTCAAAGCCAGAAAAAAGTCTTGACTTGAAATCAAAAGTAAATAAAAAACACCTCCACACTTGCTGGAGAAGTTTAAAGCACTGAGCATAAATTATTTCCAAATCTTTTTATCTATATTTTTCAGGTCATATTTCAAAAGTACATATTAAGTTTAAAATTGATATGAAGTTTGAGCATTTAACTAAAAGGGAATTTATGTTATATGATCATACATTTATGAGCACATAGCAGAAGGGTTCGAATTACTACCTTTTATGCATCTAAAGAGAACCTAAGAAAGGGAAAATGGAGAAGAGGAGAAAGGTCATACACTGCACAGAAAATAAAGATAAGAATCTCTGAGCCATCAAAGCATGGAGAAAAGTCGTAATATGCAACATTCTCAACTTAATACAACTATGGACCTTGACACCTAGTGACCTAGGGGACTCTTGAGAGGACAAACCTCCAAAAGCTTCATAGTATACAAACTGCATATTCCAAGTGCTCTGAGCTGACACTGTCCTCACGTACTGAGTATTCATTTTTACAAGTCTGCCTTTGGAAGTTTCTGAAATACTCACCCCCACATATTTCCATACTTTTTACGGCACTCTATGTCAAAACTCCACATACCCTGAGAAGAGAAAAATATCCATTATTAGTCTAACCTTACTGGCCATATGTTTAATTGGAACAGAAATTATTCAAACCCCATGCAATCAAGCTTACTGTCACTCACTGGAGGTAAAAAGAAGTTGATATTCATAGACATCTGAGACAAAATACTGGGAACTTTAAAGTCATTCTTGACTTTCTTAAGAATTGAACTTATTGAAATAATTCTCCCAGACTATAAACACTAAGGACCTATTTGTCTTTCCACAGCACTTTTGTTTGTGTATATGCTGTCTCTAAAATCCTGAAAAGCTCTGCATTATTCCCTTTGTGATCCCATGAATCAAACTAGACTGAGGAAAATTGAGTGAGTCTCCATGGCTGGTACATTATTTCTTTATTTCATCACCTTTCTCTGATCTCACAAGCACTCTTCACATTCTGCACCAGGGACCAACTTTAGTCCAGTTGGTTCATGGAATTCAGGGGGATGAGTGAAAAAAATGATCAATTAGGGAGTCACAAAGTAATCGTCCTTTCAACACTCCAGTTCAATGTGGAAAGATGGAGAAGTGTCACCTCTATACATAGGCACAGCAAGTAAAATACTGAGCTATATACGAAAGAGCACATCTGACAGGTGAAGGGGAAATTATTGCTCTTTCAGTGAGGAGACAAAGTATGAATCTTGAAGCTGTTATTAGAAAATGAAACCTCATATTTCCAGAAAAACTGAAAACATCATACCACAGTGATATATGTGCACCCATGTTTATAGCAGCACAGTTAGCCAGATCTTGGAAAGAACCTAAGTGGCCATCAGCAGAGGAAAGGATAAAAAAGTTGTGGTATTTTTATACAATGGAGTACTATTCAGCTATAAAGAATGATCATATTGAGATATTTATAAATAAATAAAGGCAACTTGAGACCATACTCATAAGTAAAATAAATCAAACTCACATGTATAAATATTGTATAGTCTCCCTAATCTAAGAAATGGTAAGAGTACATAAGATTTTATGGTAATCATGATTCCCCATTACATTGCTTTGAAGCCTCATAATGATTTTATTTATTAGTTGGAATGGTTTTATTCTGTTTTGTTCGATTTCATTATGTGTGATAGTATGAACAGCTACTTTGAAGCAAACAAGGCATTATGGCAGCCATTTATGATTTAATATCATCTTGCTTTGAAGTCCTACCATGCTTTTGTTCTTCTGTTTCCATTGGTTCTATCATGTTGTGTCTTATTGGATTTTAATATGTGTAATAATATAAACAAATTTTTATGGAAATGAGATATTTGATTAGCCATTTTTCATTTTCTGTTATTTGGTTTTGAATGTCCTGTAATACTTTCATTCTCTTGAATGGTTTTATACTATTTTGTTATGTTTGATATTAATGTGTGGGAAGGTATGCTCAAGTATTTCAAAGAAAAGAGAGTTTATGATAGTGACTGTTAATATCCAGTTGTCTTGTTGTGAAGTGCTGTGTTGCTTACATTGTTCTGCTCTGATTTGCTTTGTTCTGTCCTCTTTTGTTTTATTCTCTTTAAAATAAAAAATAAAAAAAATAAAAGAAAATGAAGCCCCCTAACATACAAATGTTAGAATGAGATAACCCTGGAATCATGAGGAAAAATTTTTATCAGAAAACTGACTTAATTTTAGTGCTGGTCTTCAAGATGAGCTCATGAATATCCATCCAGGTGGCAGATCCTGAACTAACATTCAATCCAGGTTTGTCACAAGACTCATACAAAATTCACATTACATATTACATTATATTAAAATAAGTGAATTTTTAATGTATTCTGAAGACATCTTTTCTCTATTGATTTTGTATAAATGATTCTGTCTTTGTTTAGAAAAATAAAACTCAGCATGCAGTTCAATAAAACAATTGACAGACAACCCTATTCTGTTTCAGGGATGATCATACTCACTGCTCATATTCACCCATTTGGTGCAAACTTTGAAAAAAAATACAGCAGAATGCTCTCATCTTGTCTTTTAATTCCTAAAAAGATATCATACTTATCAAAACCTGGGATATTCCTATGGAAATAACTACATAGAACTGAGCAGTTCTTGAAAAACCTAGAGAACGTGTGAATATCTCAATAAAGAACACCTGGACCACCTAACAAGATAAACATTGAGAGATGTCTAGCAGGAATAGGAAAAGCTTCTCACGAACTCTAGAATGAACAGGAAAGATTGAAGCCTAAATGTCCACAGGTGGATGAGATGCTTCTAGGGAATCCCCTCTTGATTTTCTCCCAAAACTAACAAAGATATCTGTCCTTTCCGACATCTCTATTATGCAAAACAGAATGTTCTTTTGATGCTCACATCGTCTGAACCTCATGTCCTGAGCATCAAATGTTGACATCCCAGAGATCTGTACTGTGTTGCTGAGGCAAGACTGCAGCTCTACACAGTTAACAGAGCCCCAACGAAAATGAGACCTCGCTCTGGGTAGGACTCACATAGTTTGTGAACGCTGAAAGTTTCAGAACTTCACCACAAGGAATAGCACTTTTACTGATGCAATAAGGCTAGTGTTTGCCAAAAAGGGATATCAAACAGCACTCACCTTCCTGTAGGACAAAACATTTCCAAACAGAGGCAGAGGTTTAGGCCCAGGAATTCCAAGCTTCTTAAAAAATCCATGGGAATAGGTCGCATATCTGTAGTGAAAAAGAAAGCAAGGTCATAGGAATTGTGACTTTACACACATTGAAGTTCACCATTCACTGACTCAGAAAGTGAAATAGTCAAGCTAGGGATGGTAACCTGTAGGCTATAAATAACAGCAAAAACACCAACAGCAATAAGTGCACTCACTCAACAACTCCTTTCCTGTCTTCACTGACACTCTTGCTAAAATTCACAATGATTAGCTAAAATCAGTTGAACTCATTATTCTCCCAATCCTACTTGATAAACATCTCCAATATTTAAGGCTCCTAAGAGATTCAGGCTGGAATTTTTCCAGGGTACTTCATTTGCTGATGTCAGTATGGGAAACTGATTCCTCTACGAAGTGTGAGGATGCTCATTCTGGTAGGAAGGGTGGGGAGTTTCTTCAGCTGCAGGGATAAAACTTTGTGCAAGTGTATCTGTTTAATGAGTCAGAGCCATGGAGCTCCTCTGGTAACATTCTTCCTACAGTTTGTTCAGAGGTTATCATGTTTACCCTTCCCTCTGAGCCATGTCTCTGTTTTACACAATCTGGCCCTTCTTAAGTTTGCTTATCCAGAAATTTCTGGGATCAGTCAATTTATTTTTAAAGTCTCAAATGCTCCTTAAATGACATTCTGAAGAAGAATTAATCAATATGGAATCCATGTCTTGGCTTCTCTTCTCCTCACAAATTTGGGCCTTCAGCTGGTGAGGTCCACCTGGTAAGCACAGTGTCAGCCTTGCTAATATTTAGCAAGAATATCAGTCACAAAGCAGTTAACTTACAACCTCTATACATTGACTGTGTACTAAAATAATATGTTATGACTGGTGTTCCCAGGGGAGGCTTGCCTTCAATTTGTCTAAGATATGTCACCTGTGGACTTCCACACCTAGGAGTAACAGGTCCTGCAGATCTTCCCTGAATGACAAGTGGAAGTCTTCAGAAAGAAAAGAAGCTAAGGAAAGAGACCACTGGTAAGCATTTTAAGCTTACAGCTTCTAGTCCTAAAATCTAAACCCCATGCCAACAAATTAGGAAAATATAGCTAAAAATGTGGTGTGTATACGTAATCAATAAGCCTCCCAAGGACCTAAAATACAGATAAATGAGGAATATAGAACTCCAACTATACATAACCAAAATAAATCTACACCCAGACATATAATAATCAAGATCCCAGAAATTCAGCACAATAGAATATTAAAGCTGTTATAGAAGAGAAACCGATGAACTATAAAGGAAAATCCATCAGAATCATGGCAGACTTCTCAACACAAGTCATCAAGTCTAGAATAGCTTGGAGTGAAGTGTTTTAAGTCCTGATAGAAAACAACTTCAACCCAGATAAATGAACCCTGCAAAACTATCTTTCACAATTAACAGAGAAATAACATGCTTCCATGATAAAGAACAACTGAAGGAATTCATGACCACCAAACCAACCCTAAAAAAGTGCTAACGGATATATTAGAGAGAGAAAGACAGTCACTGTTCCAGGATCAGCAGCACAGGGGGATTGTCAAGGCAGGATAGGCAATTTAATGGATGGGAAAAGTGAGGAACGGCAGGAGGATAGCATAGCAGAGATGAGCCAGAGCATATCAGTTGTAAACATCAATGTACATGGCCCCACACATTAATAAAAAGAAACATGGACAAAATGGGTCAGGAGACTTATACAAGAAACAGAATTGACTTGAAAGCAAATTTATGGGCTGAAGGTCAGAGAAGACAATGGTCCATGTGGTGAGGACCTAAAAAGAAAAAAAGCAGGAGTGGCGTGCCTGCCAACTGCAGAATGGACAAGAAAATATGACATGTTTATACAATGAAAAGCTATTTATCTACAAAGAAGGATAATCTCGAGGATTTTGCAGGTAAATGAATGCAACTTGAGATCATGCTCATGGGTGAAGTGCTTTGAACTCATGTGGGTGAACATTTTGTTGTCTCCTTAGTATAAATAATCGAAGGAGATAGTGGGGTCCAAAATGACAAAAGATACTGTAAAAGTGAAAGAGGAGGAAATGTCTTAGAAGGGAAGGTGGTAGCCATTGTTAGTTTATTATCATTTTCATTGTTTGGTTCCGTTTGGTTTTATTCTGTTTTGTGCTGTTTGCTTCTATTATGTCTGATAGGATGGGCAGATATTTTGAAGATAAGATAGGTCGGGGCTGGGGATTTAGCTCAGCGGCATAAGCACCTGCCTTGTAAGCAGGCAGTCATGAGTTCGATCCCTAGTACTGATAAAAAGGAAAAAGACCAAAAAAAAGATAAGATAGATTATGATATCCACTGTTGATTTCCTATTAGCTCATCTTAACTATTAGCTCACCTGTATCACTTCATTGTTTTGTTTTGATGATTTTATTCTGTTCTGTTTTGTTTGATTATATTATGTCTGATGGTATGGGCAGCTATTTTGAAAATAATAAGAGGCATTATGGTAGCCATTGTTGTTTTCCTATTATCTTAAAGTCCTGTGTTGCTTTCATTGTTTGATTTTGACTGGCTTTATTCTATTTCATTTTGTTTGGTTTTATTCTCTTTAAAATAAAAAAATAAACTTTGCATGTGCTTTCAGCTACAAGAGAGGGGACCTTGCAAAGAATAGCAACCTTCTTATTGATAAAGTGCATTATGCAACACAAATTAAGAAACAATAATATGTTCTAGGAAGTTTGATAGTTTCCTCTTATCTAAGGGTGAGGCTTTGAGCAATATATGGTACAATATCCTGTAAAAGTCCAATACATATTATAAAATCATAAAACCCAAAACAATCTCCCATGAAAAGCTCTGGTTTTGAGGGACTCATCAGGGACACCTTAGAAAAGTCCTGGTAGGGATTAGAATTATTCCCCAAGATCCAAATGTGCTCTGCTCTAAAAATTCATCATTTAGGGGTAAATAAATCCACACATTACTGGGTAGAGGAACTGAGTTTTAGGAGGGATGATATTTTCAGAAAGAAGTCACAGAAAAGAAGGAAGCATGGAGTCATCCCTCCCATAAAATCTGGGGTACACTGAGGAACATTGCATTAAACACATTGGGGGATAGGAGCGGACAGAAAACATCCTTGTCCTTAGGGTGCAAGCCTTTCTCACATCTCTTCCAACAGAAAGAACATAGAGTGGATGAATAAGAGACACAATCAAAGCCATACAGCTACCATAGAATTCCCAGATTGGAAATAAGGTGAAGTTCCTACTGCATATGATATACAATTGTACATAATGTGCTTGCTGAATTCTAGCACATTAGTCTAAATTCAAATGACAGTCATACCATCCCCAGGAGTGATAAAACCATATCAACAATCCTTCTAGCCAGAGGACTAGGGAGTTACAACAGAGGAGAGAAGAATGCTCAAGATACCTTCATAAGGTCAATAAGAACCTCATATTTTTGTAGCAACTTCCCTTCCATTATCTTTTTTGATCAGACAAAGAAGTCTGATCATACCCCAAACCCAAAGGTATAGCTATGAGGAGCCTGAAAACTTACTCACCGATACAGAAGCACCAGGCTAAGGGCCAGGAGAACCCACGTTTCCAAGGAAAAGCTGGGGACCAGGTCCATTTCCTTGTGCGATTTTCTCTGAGTTTCTCTCCCAGCTGATTTTAGGGTTGTGCCTGCAGAGATTCGCTTGGATTCCCAGCAGGGATTCAGTGAGGATTGCATGTTTATATGCTGGAAAAGGAGGTGTGAGCAGGGCAGCAGCCAGTAGAAAGGCTAGATGTAAATCACTTGGAGTTGGGAGGAGAAAAGTGCCCTCTCCAGCTTGGCAACTGGCAAAGAATTATGCACATTCTGACTCTGCCTTACCCTGAGCTCATATTTAATGGAAAATCAATACAATTCAATCACTGTTATCTGGAATCCCAGTAGTTATTTACTCTCAGGAATGTAAGCCATCAGCATTAAATTTTCTCCAACCTCCCCTAGTCTTCATGGGTACTCTGATTCCAAACAACACAAAATCCATTCAAACAATGTACTTCTACAGATTTTGACATATCCATAGGTAATGGATTTTTACCTAGTGCATCGTCTGCCCTTGTACCCCATAGAAAACTCTTAAGAATCCTTTAAAACCCAAGAGGATCACTAGTTGAAGCCCAGCCTGGACAATTCAAGAATGCAGCAAGACTCTCAAATTTTTCAAAAATGGACAGGGATACAACTCAGTGTGAAGGCCTTGAGTTCAAGCCCTAGTACTGAAAAAAGAAATTCCAGATCAGACCAATTCTCCCCATGGAGTGTTTACCAACCACTTCCTTTGCCCAAATTATGTCTGCTGTAACATTTCTGTTATTGTCTTCCCTTTTTTCATAGCCATTGATGATTTTCATGCATACATATTTCCATTACCAAGTTGTGAAATTGTCAAAGGAATAGTCTGGGTATTATTCCTAGTCTTTAGCAGAATATTTTACCTGCAGGGGGCATCCAGGCAAGTTTGGTGAGTTGAGCCTGGAGACTTTTGGGCCTCTCATGTTCTTTTGTATATGTCTGTGGAACACTAAATCTGCTTGGATTGTTAAAACAACAAAAGGAACCATCTGTGAGGCAGCCACTATTACCAGAAGTTGACCTGCAAAGTTATGTTGAGAATAGAGGCTTTAATCGAGAGACAGAACATGGATGAAACATAACTAATGATTACACTGAGCAGTATCAGCTTCATGCACTTTTCAGGTAGTTCTTCAAAGGGGTCTTCTCCAAATAGCATGTTATCCATATTTTGGATCAAATAATGGCTGGCAATCTCTCTGGATAACTCCATGTCTGAGATCAATAAGTATGAAAAAAGAGAACAGTCTACATATCCAAGTGATCTCAAACACCTTAGCCACCTTATCAAAAGTCACTAGAAGCAGCACATAGTATACAAGACTCCAAACAGACGCTTATATACACTTTCTCTTGTAAGGTGTAATAAGCCAGCAGGTCTATTCATTCATGCACTGATTCAAGACCAACTGTGGACCTGTCACATATATGTTCTATACCAGGTGTAGTCTAGAATCCATTGTCTTTTTCTTTGGCAATTTTCTGAAGTAGAGCAAAAGATGCATAAATGAGCATAGATGGAGGTGTGCATTTGATGTGCCTATGAAATCACTGGAAGAACTGAGCTCTTCAAAGAGCTGTCATTGTGAAACAATTTATTAGAAAACATAGATATTAACCATAGGCAGACATGTGAATTTGGGAAACAATCTACAGAAAAACTAGGATTGAACAATCAAGGAATCCTAATACATTTCTGACTCTTTTATTGGCTTCACTGAAGAGTGCTTACCAGGATCATGTTACTAACCCTCATTTACAGAGATAGGAAGTGAGGTTGAGTGACTAGCAGTAGCTTTCCAACAGCTATCATGGAAACTATTATATATAAAGTCATAGAGACTTTTTAAATTCTTCTAGTGTTCTGGTACATCACTCAACTTCTGACATGCCCTGACAAGGGTCATAATGATAAATAACGAGGCTCAAGACCATAATGGTACATTGGATGAGAACTGGCTTCTAATCTCATACTTATTCCCTCAGCAGCTCAACATGGCTCGTGCAAAACTAATGACTCATCACATCTCAGCTGGGCGAAAGAAGGATACAATTTAAGAGGGATATAATTTCTATCTATCTATCTATCTATCTGTCCGTCTGTGTGTCTGTCTCTCTGTCTCTCTATCTCTCTGTCTGACTCTCTCTCTCTTTCTCTTTCTCTCCCTCCCTGTAACAAGAGAAGTTCACAGAATGCATTCAAACAGGAGAGATGAAAATGTCAGCTCAGAGCTGTGGACAGTTTCATTAACTCCCTAAACTCAAACCCTCCTGATCCTTTTTTTTAGAAATCAAATCCTCGTGGAAATTCATATATTTTGATCTTCCTCCAAATCACATATTTTCTAAGATCTTTTTATACCTAAAACTAATATAACCTTCCGCCTTCCATTCTTATCTCAAAACCTGTTCAGTGTGCTTGAAATCTATATCAATAGGAGGTAAAAGACTGGTCATTGCTTAGGACAAAAATGAACCCAGCACCATATTCTACCCAAAGCATACTCTCTTGTTCTGCAATAGAAAGGTGAAAGAAAGCACGTTCTGAGTCATTACATTCATACAATAATATCTCCTAACATAAAGAGCCTTGCACATGAAGTTGAGTTGAGCTTGTGGAAAAGACACCCCTTGTCTCCCATTGACTCATTCCTATACCAATGCACTCACTATGCAACTTTTTTATTTTACAGAGAAAAGTTATAACTAAATTTCATAACAGAATAAAAGGAGAATAACAATAGTCAGTACATTACATGTTATTGTCTTTAGTTGCTCAAGGTACAAGATATGGGCATAAAACTTTCTCTAATCTATATTAGTGCAAACCCTCCATTTAGATGAACAAAGAGACACTAATATCATTGATTTGCATTTTTTCCTTTCCCCCGTTGTCCTTTCCCCTATCACCTTTCCTAGTTCCTAGTTCCTTTTTCGTTTGGAAAAATTTCTTCCCTTTTTACAGCTATTCTACATTTTAGACCATATTTTTTTTTTGGTTTCTCACACCTGGTAGACAATATGATGTTTACTCATGAGTCTAATTTATTTCACTTATGAGTATGATCTCAAATTTCATCCATTTACCTACAAAAGGTTCAAGTGGACACCGCAGCTGCCTGCCTGGAGTGAGTTGGGCCGAGCTGCAGGACCCCAATCCAGTCTTGCTGATCTCACTCTCTCAACTGGAATGCACACCGCAGCTGCCCTCCTTGAAGAGTGAGTTGGGCCAAACCGCGGGACCCCGTTCCGTCCTTGGTAACTGTCCTCTCTCACCCAGAGGGCACACCACAGCTGTCCGCCAGGAAGAGGTAGCTGGGCCTAGCAGCAGGACCCCACTCCAGCCTTGCTGACTGCCCCTCTCACCTGGAGGGCACATGGCAGCTGCCCCGCCTGAAGGAGGGAACTGGACCAAGCTGCAGGAACCTCCTCTGGCCTTGCCTGTGACCTTCTTTAGGCCTGGAGAGCACCAGCACTACTGCCACTTCCAGGAGGAGGGAGCAGCCCTGCTGAGGAGGTTTGAGGCCTACGAAGGCCATAGGGGGAACCTCTATCAGCCTGGGGAGCTTTTCCATCCAAGGAGCTGGATGGTTACACAACATCCAATCCCTGGGAGAGTAAGAGGTCCTTGCTCTAGGAGGTTGGGGGACCACTGGGCTTGCAGCCACACTAGATTGGGCTTAGCAGGATTTGAGATTGCCTGGACCACACCTGCTCACCTTCTTTCCCTCAGGGGAGCTTTGTTGCCAGAGTGGGGAGCTGTGTAGCTTGAGGAGGCTTTTGGTCTACCTGGGAGGAGCCTGGCAACCTTCTTATAATCCAGAGGCCTCACTGCCCAGGGTATGGGCTACACTACCAAAGGAGTCCCAGGAGCCCAGCACATGGGAGACAATTTCCAACACGTCCAGAGGAAGCTTTGGAACAACACTTGAAACACAGAAATATAGGAAAATGACAAAACAAAAGACCAACATACAATCTCAAACATCCAGCCCATCCCAAGAAAGCCAAGGAGACATGTACATACAAGAACATACATGCCATATGCCTGAAATACCTGAAATAATAGTAACCAAAATAAAGAAGCAACTCCAGGAAGCTTTAAAGGAATTCAAACTAGAAATAATCTCTCAGATAAAAGAAGAAATGATAAAAGAAATGAAGGAGATACTGAACATATCTAAAGAAGACACAGTTTAAAAATTGGAGGAACTAAACAAAAAGATAAAACCCCTGGATGAACAATATAAGAAACAAACAAAATATATAAATCAGATGCAAAGAAATATACAGGAAATCAAAAATTCAATTCAAAGTTGTAAAAACTGCCTCAATGAATGCGAGGATAGAATTTAAGAACTTGAAGAAAACATTGCAGCCAGTGAACAGAAAAGGAAAGATCTTTTAAAAATAACAAGAAATCAGGAAATAACAATGCAACAGCTGCAAGATGAGGCAAAGAAAAACAACATAAGGTTGATAGGGGTAAAGGAAAAAGAAGGGGAGGAGATTGGAAAATGGCGGCGAGCTAGGGAATCGAGCGAAGAATCTCCCCAGAGAATTCAAACTCAAAGATAAAAAAAGACAGCATGGAGAGGACCAGACAAATCGATAGTGATTCTTATTAACCAAGACAGTACAACTGGAGGATTTAAAGTCGTGCTGAGACCGGAGGCTACAAATCCCGCGCCCTTAAATCAACAAACAGACTCGTGGACCCAGCACGAAAAGCTGAGTTGCTTTTGGAGACCGCGGGAAACTGAGACCCAGATCGAGACTCCAAGTAGCAGCCAGTTCTGCACCGCTGCACCAGAGTGGATGTACAAAGCTCTGGCGATTCAAATCTAAACGGTGCACAAAAATCTGACCGGTCAGCGCTGAGCCGCGAGTGGGGGAAAAGTGGACAGCTTGGTGTGCGGCGGTCCTGGAACGAGGACTTGCACCGGACCCTGGTGAGTACAGAAAACCCCGCCGCTGCTGGGTTTGACCAGAGAACAGCTGGCCCGCCAC